TAATTTTCAGTTATGATTTAATATTTCCTAATGTTAAAAGTACACGAAAAATAAAGAGGTTAGTTTGAGAAAGTGGTAGGTGCTCTAAAAGTGCCGCTCAAACTTTAATGTGGGTATGAATAACCTGGGCATTATTATTAAAATCAGATTTTGAAACTTTAGGTCTGGTGTGGGACCTGAGATTCTGCATTTCTGGTTTTTTTTTTTTTTTGAGACAGAGTCTCACTGTGTTGCCCGGGCTAGAGTGCCATGGCATCAGCCTAGCTCACAGCAACCTCAAACTCCTGCCTCAGCCTCCCCAGTAGCTGGGACTACAGGCATGCGCCACCATGCCCGGCTAATTTTTTTGCTATATATTTTTAGTTGTCTGATTAATTTCTTTCTATTATTAGTAGAGACGGGGTCTCGCTCTTGCTCAGGCTGGTCTCGAACTCCTGAGCTCAAACAATTTGCCCGCCTCGGTCTCCCAGAGAGCTAGGATTACAGGCGTGAGCCACCGCGCCGGGCCTGCATTTCTGTTTTTTATCGATATACAATAGTTGTACATATTTTTGGGATACATATGATATTTTGATACATATGTACAATGTGTAATGATCAAATCAGGGTAATGGGGATATCCGTCACCTCACACATTTATTTTTTCTTTATGTTCGGAACATTCTAATTTTTCTAAATGTGGTACATATACACAATGAATTATTCAGCCATAAAAAGAATGAAATCCTATCATTTGCTGCAACATGGATGGAACTGGAGGTCATTATGTTAAATGAAATAAGCCAGGGCCAGGAAGACAAATACTGCACATTTTCAGTCATATGTGGGAGATAAAAAAGTTGATTTCGTGGAAGTAGAGAGTAGAATCATGGTTACCAGAGGCTGGGATGGGAAGGAGGTGGGGAATGAAAAGAGGTTGGTTAATGAGTACAAAAATACAGTTAGATAGAGGGAATAAGATCCAGTGTTTGATAGTACAGAAGGGCAACTGCAGTTAACGATAATTTATTGTCTAGTTCAAAATAGCTACAAGAGATTCTGTATTTCTAAGAACCTCCCAGGTGATGCCAATGCCATTGGTTCGTGTATCACATTTTTAATAGCAAGGTTTTAAGGGAAATAATACAAGGAAATGTGATAGAGAGTGGCAGGGACAGAAGGTGGCTCTTTAGATAAGGTGCTCTTGGAGAGCTTCTCTAAACAGGTGACATTTGAGTTGAGACCTGAATGACAAGAAAAAGTCATTAGAAAATCTGCACGAAAGATGTTCCAGGTAGAGGGGAAAGCAAGCACAAAAGTCCTGAGGTGAGAATAAGTTCTGGCATTTTTTTAGAAACAGAAAGAAGACCATTGTGGCCTTCTTAAATTGCTCAAATGTTTCTTCCACGTTTCAGGTGTTTAATTTGTGAAAAGAGCGCTGTATTTGGTGTCATAAAACCTAGGTTTGGTCTCCATCCCATTAGTTCTGTGGTCTCTGTCTAATCAAAACCTATCTCAGTCTCAGTTTCCTCATAAACTTTGGGTTAGTAATAAATAATACCTATTCTCTAGGGTTGATATGTGGATTAAATAAGATAAGGTATGAGAAAGCATATCGTAAATTACAAAATACTATATCCATTTAGGTATAATTATTGCTTATATAAAGTGCTATCATGTGATCTGTGGCTCTGGCAGCTACTTATAGCAGCTTTTATTGTGTGTACTTCTCTCTCTTTAATGTATGTCAGAAATTTATGTGTCAAGTTGCTGCAAGCCAAGTTGGCCTGTTTATGCTGTTCCCCAGCAGTGTGCAACTCTTACTATGCTTTATGTTCTATTTCTGGGAGCCCTGGAAATTTTCCTTTGGCTTATTTGGCAAATAAATGTTTGCTTTGCTTCAGCTCATCAATAGAGTAGCTATTTGGGTATTTCAATGTTACTCACATTTTTTTTCTTTTCTTTTTTTAGAGATGAGGTTTCACTCTTTTGCCCAGGCTGCAGTGCAGGGACATGATCATAGCTCACTGCAGCCTGGAACTCCTGGGCTCAAGTGATCCTTCTGCCTCAGCCTCCTGAGTAGCTGGGACTACAGGCAAGCGCCACCACACCTGGCTAATTTTTAAAAATTCTTTGTAGAGATGGGGTCTTGCTATGTTGCTCAGTCTGGTCTGGAACTCCTGGCCTCAGGTGATTTCCAATGTTGGCCTCCCAAAGCATTAGGATTACAGGCATGAGCCACCATGCCTGGCCATAATTCACATTTTTAAATCAGAGGAGTTGGCTTACAATAAGTACTACTTTGATAAAAAATATATTGACTCCATTCAAAGACCTCGCAACTACTATTCCATATCAATAATGCCTGTTGGTGATTCTAATAAAACTTCTCAAGAATTTTGAGAAATCATCTGTTGGGTCAGGTGTAGGTGTTTCAGAATTCCAAGGTCTTTTCTGATTTAAAATCTTACGATTCTATATGGCCTCTGGAGAATTTCATTAAATCTTATGTTTAAGCGTAGGCAACATCTCCTAGTGGATAGAGCAGTAGAATAGGAGCCAGAATACCACAGCTCTAGTTCTGGTTCTGGTCCTCTTTATCTGCTATGAACAGCTAAAACCTATAGAAAACTGTTATTAAGATTCAGAAAGCTATTATTAAGATTCAGCAAGATAATATGTTTCTGAAACTATAAAAATTTAAGATATTATTGCATCACATTGTATCTATCTGACAATTGCTCATAAAATATATATGGTATGGGTTCTTACATTTTTTTAAAATTAGAGCATCATTTGACAATGCCTTACCTGGGTAGTAAGATTCAGTGGCCATATTCAGACCTAATAGAAATCACTGGTAGGGTCTAGGGTCTCTCTAATGCAGATTGTTGCTGTCTAACACAAAATAGATGCTGAATAAATATTTATTGATGATGACATAGTCATTAATAAAAGAGGCCATTACTGATCTACTGTCAACAAGACAATAATAAGCTAGAAACATCCAATTAGTCACCAAGTCCCATCAATTCTATCTCCTTAATATCCCTGGAATTGATTTACTGTCACTGCTACCGCCAGGCTCAGGCCTTTATTTTATGACTGAGCTATTGTATTAACTTCATGACTTCAATCTGAACTCCCTCCAATCCAACCTTCTCACTTAAGCCAGAGTGCCTTAATGGACACATAAATTTGATCATGTTACTCTCCCGATTAAAACCCTTTGCTGGCTACAGGATAAAGCATTAACTTCATAGAATGAAATAGAAGGCCCTTCACCATCAGGATTATGCTCACTCAGGCTCATCTACTACTACTTTGCCATACACTCCATTGTGAACTAAAATAAAATCCTAACCCCACCAGCTGACTGAATGGACTCCCTCTTGGTCAAGGGGACTCCAGAAATACCTTAAAGCTGAGTTGCTCACCATGAGAAGGGAGGTCAGACATACTTTGTCTTGCTCCCTCCCTTCTTGGAGATATCTTTTGTAACTCATCAACAGGTCTAAGGCTATATAAGACAAAGCTTAAATCATACGTACAGGTCATCAGTTTACTTAACAGATCATGAGTCTGGGTATATGTCCGGTGGCTTGTCTCTGATTAACAGACTTCCTTATCTTAACTTAAAACATTTCAAGCCTTTAGACAAAGTTTGCTTTCTTTAACCAATCACAAATTAAAGAATCTTTAAACCCACCTATAACCTGTAATCCTCTGCTTCGAGATGTCCTGTCATTTTGTTCCAAACCAACGTATGCCTTTCCATGTATTAATTTATGACTTTATGTGTAATTCCTATCTCCCTGAAATGTATAAAACCAAACTGTTTCTGTTGACACCATAGACTCCTGAGCCTGAAAATGTTTTCTTATGCCTTCTTGCTTTTAACATGTCATCTTCTTTACATTAAATTTTCATCAACCTTTTCAGTAAATTCTATTTTTCTTCAAATAACTAGCTCAACCATCCCCTTCCCTGGAAACCTGTGGCGTAATATGAATCTCAGAACAAAATAAAGCTAACTGCATGGGCTATGCATATCCTTTGTCTTTCTTCATCAGACTTATCAGTTCACAGTGCCTCTTCATAAGATTTTCATAATCATTCACCTGTCTTGTGTGAAAGGTTTGAGAATGCAGCAATGAATATAAAATTGCAACTGCATTATTGTCTCTGGGGTTTCAGGTAACATTTACACTTGCAAATGCAGTTTCCCAGATAACTGTAAACATATTTTGACATTATTTTATTTTATTTTATGATAGTGTGACAAAAGAATATAAACCTGTCTTAAACATGGACTTCTCTATATACATTTCACTTTACCACCCCTTAGCCAATCTAGCGGTTTTTTAAATAAGTAAGAATACTGCAGAAACCAAAGCGAAGAAGAGAAGCAAACAGGAGCAAATGAGCAGAGTACAGACGTCTGTGGTGTGTGTGTAACTGTCCCAGGAGCAACAGACCAAAGGAAAACTGCCCCTAGGTTTGCGCAAGAGAAAACAATCGGCAAAGTAAAAGCGCTTACAAGACAGAGAGGCAGTGAATCTCACAGATGAAGCCTCTTCCCAGGGGAAATTAATGTCTGTAGTTTAATCTACCCTAAGTGTTAGTGCACAGGAGAGTGGAGATAAGAATATGCATAGGGAAAATGGAAAGAGTGGAGAGTAGCAATGAGTAGGAAGCGGTAAGAGACTGGAATGATGGACAAGATAGGGGTGCCAGATTTAGCAGATGCAATATTTGGTACATACTTATACTAAAAAATGATTCGTTGTTTATCTGAAATTCAAACTTAACTGGGCATCTTGTATATTATCTGGCAACCCTAGGAAAAGAGAGAAAGACAATGTTACTCCAATATTCCTGCCTGTGTAAGAAAAACAATCAAAGCCTCGCCCTAGAAGAAAACAGGAGTCTACGCCGAAACGTTCGAATCTTCAAATACCAGCTATTTCCGGTCTCGGGCCCTGGAAAAACGAGGGGGAGGGGAGAGAAGATTAAGGTAGCCGAGTTCGGTCCGCCGGCGTCCCACAATCCTCTTCTCTCGGTTCCTCTTTCCTCGCTCAAGATGGCGCTGCTCGCGATACATTCTTGGCGTTGGGCAGCCGCGGCGGCTGCTTTCGAAAAGCGCCGGCACTCCGCGAATCTGGTCAGGCCTCTAGTTTCTGTTCGCCGCTCAGATCCGCAATGGAGGTTACATCAGCTCGGCGCCTCGGGAACCGCTCGAATCTACCAGGTGAAATGTCGTTCACATGGGAAAGTAGGGGGAAGGACAAGGGGACCTATAGGGAAAAGATTGCCCTCGTGACCTCGGGTCAGCGAGAGCACGAAAAAGAAAGATTGTCAGGGCTAACTCCGAGCAGCAGTAAATGAGGGAAATTGGGGTTCGTGAGTTAAGGAAGGGGCGAATAAAAACCTTTGGGAACAGCTAAGGGGAACGGGGCGGGAGGTTCCGGGCAGAGGGCACCTGGAGTCTCTCGTAGGATTTACAGTTTTTCTCTGTCATTAACATATGGGGTAGACACCATCCCCAGCCTGCTTACCTTTTTAAATGCAAGGAAAACTGGGCTACTTTTCTGAGTTAGTAATGGAATTTGGGACAGTTTGCCTACGGTTCAGATTTTACTCAGTCGGAATTAGCAATTTGGAGGGCACTGTAAGATGACAGAAAACTATCTATAAACAAGTGGCACGAATTAACTCCCTTGCTGACGGGCGTGCTCTTTGATAGGCCAAAACCGTAATTATCTTTCCAAAACATAGACTGCCCTAAATTCATATATAGACATGATTGTCCTTTCATCTGAAATTACAGTGGTGTTCTGTGTGCACAGGTCACATTGGAAGCCATAGGGCTGCTTATCTTGTGAACGTAGGTGTGGTTATAGTACTTCTTGATATTTGAGTCCATTATTACCTCTCACTCAAGAACAGTTTTTAAAATAATTATCTGTACTTGCTGTACTTCAGTATATATTTTTATTTCCTATATGTTGACAAAAAAGTTTCATTGCCACCACTTTTTCATCAGTATTGTTTTAAAGTATTGTCAGCCTTGTGATGAGAAATAACTTCTTAAATTTTGATTCTTAGTCAACAAATATTTAACATCTACTTTGTACTTAGCACTGTGCTAGATAATGGGGTACCAAGAGAAACAGTTATGCCTTCAAGGATTGTACAGTTTAAAGAGAGTGGATCCATGCATTATGAGAATAACTGAATAACAGAATAGTAGGTTAAATATAAAATGAATGGTATGAATAAAGGCTATAGGTATCCAGAAGAAATAGTGTTAATTAAAGACCAGATTATAAAAAGGATCTCATGCTGGTGATAGAACTGGGGAGAATATTCCCAGCAGGGAGAATAGGGAATGGCACTAAGTATGTTGAAGGCTGATGGAATTAGATTCATCATTCATTCAGTAATTATTGAACACCTTTACAGAAGTGAATAAAACAGAATATAATCCCCTTAAAGAACTAAAATCTAGTAGAGGAAAATAGGTAAGTTAACAGGCAATTAAAATACAGTAAAACTGTGCAATGATGGGGAAGGTACAAGGTACTGAGAAAGTATACATGAGGGACATTAAATCTAATCTTAAGGTGGGGAAGATTGCCTTGAGTAACTGATACCTAAGCCAAGACCTGGAAAATTAGAAGTTAGTTAAAGAGGGAAGCATATGCAAAGGACCACAGGTAAGAGAGAGCATGGACCTTTTGTATATCTGCATATAGTTTAGACTGAAGTAAGGAGTTAAAGATAGGAAGTAGCAGAAGATTAGACTAGAGAAGCAAATCTAGATTGCTTTATTAAGGTTTTTAAAGAATTTTATAGTTGAAAGTTTGTTAACACATGATCTCTTTATTCTACAGTCTCCAATAATGCAGACGAAGTTAAGATAAAATTTGTAGGACTTTCTCAGGCTGAAAGATTGATGGAGAAGTGGGAAAGAAGTCATTAGGAATTTCAGAGGAAGCAATGGCTTTCTCTCTTTGCATGAACATTGTGCCCCACAACTATCCCCCAAACTCCATTTCTGAAGTGTTAAAAACAAGGGAAAGATATTACCTTTGTTTACTACTTCTTAAAGGCTTGGGACTCTTGCCATCTTTTTGTAAAATATGAATTTAACAGGGAGATGAAGGGATGATTATAAAGCTTTCAAAGTAGAAACTGATGTAATGTGAGGTACCTGCAAATTAATTAGTGACTTGTGATTGAGATTACAAAATAAATATTGAATGCATACTTTTAAGGCAATCATTAGTACAGAGCATAATATTTTAGAACTGAAAGGAACCTTAGAGAAGTGTTAGGAAATCATGTTAGTGGGTTAGATTAACCCTTTTTTAGATGAAATTCAGAATAGAAAAGAAAATATCAGTGCACTTTACACATTAAGGGATGTATTGTATGAACTTTTGTTTTATGTATATATACACACTCCAACATGTATGTGATTATCGGGATTCATTGTAAAATGTATTTTTCACCGAGGATCATGCCCTACAGCTGTGCTCTACAATATAGTTGCCACTAGCTTCATGTGGCTATTTAAATTAAATTAAAATTTTAATTCCTCAGTTGCATTAGCCACATTTTCAGGGCTCAGGAGCCACATGTGGCTAGTGGCTATTATACCATACAGCATAGATATGGAACATTTCTTCCATCATTGCAGAAAGTTCTACTGGATAGTGTTGCTTTAGAGAATATCATATCCAGCACTTCTAATTTTGTAGGTGAGAAAACTAAGTCCCAGTATGGATAAATGACATCCTTCAAGGCCATTCATCCATTTATTGCCTTCTGTATGTCGGGTACTTATATAAGAGTAAATAAGACCCTGACAGACACTAGGCACACAATAAATGTTCATCAAATTCTAAAGATACTTACCTAATAATTAATAAAGGGAAACACCATAAACAAAAATTATTCTTAAAATTGGAAGATTTCATATGATAGTGTTTAAATTGTATGATTTATTATACCATTGCCTCTCTACTACATTAGTTAATATTAAAAGGATTTATGAAAACTGAATGATAGAATTTTGGGTTTATTTCGTTAATATTTAAATGGTAGAAACTGAGGCATTACATAGCTTCTCCTCAGCACCTTTTATCCAAGTTTAAAGAGTCCTTGACTGTTGATTCTGGCACTGATCATACACTTTCTTCATTTGATTTTTTTAACATCTTTATTGAGATATAATTCATATACCATATGAATATACCATATTCACCCATTTAAAGTGTACAATGGATTTTAGTATATTCTATGATATGTACCACCATACCACAATCAATTTTACATTTTCATCACCTAAAAAAGAAAGCCTCTGCCCTTTGACTGTCACCCTCCTGTACCCCTCCTCCGTCCCCTAATCAACTACCAATCTATGTCAATCTCCCTATATTTGTCTATTCTGGACATTTCATATGAGTGAAATTATATAATATGTGGTCTTTTGTGACTGGCTTCTTTCATTTAGCATTGTGTTTTCAAGGCAAGTTTATGTTATGGCATGTATAAGTAATTTATTCCTTTTTATGGTCAAATAATGGTATGGATATACAAGGTTTTCTTTATGCATTCAACAATTGATGGACATTTGAGTTGTTTCTTTTGCTATTATGAATAATGCAGCTATAAATGTTCATGTGCAAGTTTTCATTTTTCTTGGGTATATATATACCTAGGAGTAGAATTGCTGGGTCATGTGGTAACTGTTTAATTGTTTAAGGAACTTCCAGACTGGTTTTCAAAGTGGCTACACATTTTTCATTACCACCAGATGTAAATGAGGGTTCCAGTTTCTCCATATCCTCACTAACACTTGTTATCTGACTTTGATTCTAGCCATACTAGTGGGTGTGAAGTGGCATCTCGTTGTGGTTTTGATTTGTATTTCCTTGATTACTAAAGATGGTGAACATCTTACCATGTGCCTATTGGCCATTGGTATATCTTCGCAGAAAGATTCTTTGTCCATTTTTTAATGGGGTTTGTTTTTTTTAATTATTGAGTTGTAACAGTTCTTTATATATTCTGAGTATAAGTCCCTTATCACATGATTTTCAAATATTATTTAAATCTCTCATGTGGGTTATCCTTCTAGTTTTTTGATAGTGTCCTTTGAAGCACAAAAGGTTTTCATTTTGATGAGATCAAATTTATCTATTTTTTTTCTTTTGTTGCTCATACTTTTGGTGTTATATTTAAGAATTCACAGCAAAATCTGAGATCATGAAGGTTTACTCATGTTTTCTTTTAATAATTTTATAACTTCATTGTAGTGTGATACAGAAACATTACTCATATATAGTTCTAGTTCCTTTTCCCCCTTTGTTGTTTTATTTTTTATATATAGTGCATCTGTGTTACAATTCCAACAATGCTTGGTCATAGTTATTACTTTATATAATTTTATGCCTTATAAAGAAACTGAGAGAATAAAAGAAGGCAAGTAAATATTTATAGTTTTTATTATATTAACCTTATCATTTCTGGTCTGTTCACTTGTTCTCATGTATTTGAATTACTTTGTGGAGTTGTTGCCTTATCCCAATATGGCTATGCTCCTACCCATCTTCTTTGGGATGTCATTGACAAATATATTATTGTACCTCCATATGTCATAGGTGCAATAATACATTACATACATATATAATATAGGTATAATTGTTTTATGCAATTGCCTTTTAAGTCAGTTCAAAGAAAAAAGGAAAAAATTATGCATTTATACTGTCTTTTGTGATTACCTATTGTAATTACATTTTCTGATGCTCTGTGTTTTTTTGTGTGTGGATTCGAATTATAGTCTGGGATCACTTGCTTTCAGCCTAAAGTATTGCTTGTGAGGTGGTTCTGCCAGCATTAAATTCTTCGTTTTTGTTTTTTTGGGAATGTCTTTATTTCGCTTTCATTTTTGAACAATATCTTTTCTGGATATTGGATTCTTGCTTGACAGTTTTTTTCTTTGAGCATTTTGAATATGTTACCTCACTGCCTTCTGGCCCCCATTGTTTCTGCTAAGAAATCAGCTGTTAATCTTGGAATTCTCTTGTTAGTAAAGAGTCTTTTTTCTCTTGCTGCTTTCAAGATTTTCCCCTTGTCTTTGGTTTTCAGTATTTTTACTCTAATGTGTCTGTCTCTTCGCGTTTTTCCTACTTGGAGTTTGTTGAGCTTTCTGAATGTGTAGGTTATTGTTTTTTAAAATAC